GAAAACCACATTCCCCCATCATCATTTTCTCTGAAGCTGACAGCTTTTCTGTTACTTCTAACACTTGCATTCTGATCTGTCATCTGTTGCACCTGAGTGTCCCCCAAACCTCTGCACTGACCCACACATTCAAGTATGCAGGTCTAGGACCCTCCCAACTTGTCTCAGTTGGCCAGAATTAATCAGGTCAAGCCTATCTGTGTCCTGAGTAAAACATACACAAACTTACACACAATAATAATACTGAAAAACTCATTTAAGTGAGCGCTGCTGTAGTATCTCCCACACGGCATTATGATATGAATTGTCAGCAACTAATACTCTTCTCACAAACTCACTGCTAAAGGCACAGATTCTTACTTCAGGGACCTGCAAGAGACATTGCTTTAGGAGGACAAAGCACTGCTATAGAACAACCGTGCATCACCTACTACACCTTCAAAAAACAGAATGCTCTAAATTCTTTCTCTCCAAGGACAGAATCACCCTCAGGAAAATGCATATGAGAAATTTCAATTCCTTTATCAAAAGCCTCTTTCAGGCTGGTTCTCAGCACAATATGCATGAGGTAAGCAAGTAAAGTAGATTCAAGCATGTTCATGACAGTCTTGTTTTAATACTTTGAAACATTATAATATGCAAACACATATAAGAGGACAATTGCTGTTGGGTTGTTTATTGCTATGTAACAAACCATCCCAACGCTTGGTGTCTTGAAACAGCAGCCATTTTTATGTTCTCTCACAATTTTGTAGATTAACTGGGCTCAGCTCTATGGTTCTTTTGCGCCACTTGACATCCACTCGATCTGAGTCATCTAAGGGCTTATCTGGATTCTAATGTCCAAGATGACTAATTTCACAAATCTAGTGCCTTGGCAGGAGCAGCTTGGGGGCTGCCCTCTGCCGGGATGCTGGGATAGCAGTGCACTTTCTCACTCTACATAGTCTCATCTGCTCATCTGCGTTCTCTCTGATACTTCCAGTAAGGTAACTCAACTTTTTAAATGGCAGGCTTCCAAAATCATGAAAATAGAAATTGTCAGGCTTTCCTAAGGCTTGGGCCCATTTCCTAAGGCTTGGTGTCATTTCCACTGCATTGTAATAGTGAACCAGAAGGCCAGTCCAGAGTCAATATGACACTAGACTATATTGCAGTGTGAACTAGAAGGCATGGTCCATTGAGGGCCATCTTTGGAGATTAGTTACTGCCATTCCTGTTCACTCCACCAAATGTGGAAATGACACTTGATATGTTAAATCTCCCTTTAGAAGAAAATATGTCACCATATTAGATCCATGAATCATCTAGATGCATAGATATAGGGGGCATCTAGAAATCAAATAAATCTAGCAAATATGACTAGTTTGAAAAACATGATCAGGACCTCTGAGAAAAAGTCACCTTTTATTCACTTGTTACATACAGAAGAAATCAAGCTTTTTAAATAGATGGATAAATCTAATATTCGTGGGATAATAATTTATAACATCATCTATTGGATATTAATTAGGGGTAAGCACTGGAGTATCATTCTTTACATGTAATTTTGTCAAATCTTCATAAAAACCATATGGGATAAGTATTATTCCCTCCAGTTTCCAGATGAAAAATTGAAGTTCAATGAGGTTTGTAACTTGCCTAAGATCAGAAACCTAGCAACAGGCCAAGCCGAGATATAACTCAAGTCAACCTGATATTGAAACCCATGTGTCCTTAAACTTTACACTGTCATCTACATGGAAACAAGAGCCACATCCCATACTGCCGTCTATAACTTCCTATCTAGACACCGTGCTGAAGTCAAGATTTTAAAATCCACTTTCTATCTTGGCATGACAGTACAGACAATTTTCTCAGAGCTCGCAGATCTGCAAGCATATGCCTCTGTGTTTAAACTGGAACCTTATCCAGACCCCAAGGTTATAATTGAGTAAAATTTTCCTCCTAGGTTATCTACGTATCAGGAAAATTCCTTCATTGGCACTCCAGCTGTGAATCACAAACTCTAATTCGTGCCATCTAAGGACAAAGAAATGGGACACCTGTGCTTTTCATTTGTGGTAACATAATTTTGGAAACATCTCACAAACAATCAGCTTTTCTTATGAAATGTAAGTGCTTTGGTAAAATATTTAGTATTGGAAATTGCTAGTGAACTTGTATTGATATATCTACAATGTTTGGCTGAGAGAGGCCCTCTCAGCACTGTGTTCCAGTCACATAGGGCTGCTGCTGTCCTTTTTAAGAATTTCCTGTACTCTTGTTTTGAGGCCTTTACTCTATTTCTCATTTAGAAAGCCTTTTGCACGCAATCTCCACCTTTCTAAATCCTTCAAGTCCAAGCTCAGATCTTTCCAAATCAAGTTTTCCCTCACCATTTGAGTTGAAATAAATTACTCTCTCATCTGTTAATCTGTATTAGTTAGCAATTACCACAGGAAAAAAGAATCAGTCCAAAACTTAAAAGCTTAAGACAACAACTGTTCATTTGCTCATAATTGTATGGGTCAATAACTGGGCAGAGTTTAACTGGCATTGACGGGGTTTACTTCTATGTTTCCGTCAGTTGGTGGACTGGCGGGGGGCCAACTGGCTAGCTGACAAGGACCTTACACTCAAGCCTGAGACCTTGGCTGTGTTGCTTGGAATGGCTGGGCAGTTTGGGCCTCTGTCTTCACAAGCAGAGAGCAAAAGACATAATGTTGTTGTAGAACACCATTTTGCCCCATTTCATTGATAAAAGCAAGTCACAAGGCTGGCCCAGATACCAAGGGTAAGGATGTTAAAATAAGACTCCAACAGATTCTTTTTCAAATATGGCCTCATTGTCTTGATTTTTTAAAAAAATTCTATAATTTTCTTCAAAGTTGGAATTTTAGGATTAGTGAACCTGACATTATAAACATCTTCAATTGAGTTTTTCTATAAATCATGTTTTTCAATTTTTATTTTGAACTAATTTTTGATAGAAAAGTTGAAAAACAATAGTACAGATAATTTTCAAATACTCTTTACTCAGCTTCACCAACATCAACATCTTACATAATCAAAATATGATTGTCAGAGTAAGAAAATCAACTTTGGTGCAATACAATTAACAAAACTAAATACCTTATGTGAATTTCAACACTAATGCTCTTTTACTGTTTTAGACTCTATCCAGGCTCCCACTTGCATTTATTTGTTACTCTGCCTGAGTTTCCTACAGTCTGTAGCAGTTCCTGAGTCTTCCCTTATCTTTTAGATCTTGACACTTCAGAATAATTTTGTTGCTGTTGTTGTTGTTGTTTTTGAGACAGAGTCTTGCTCTGTTACCAGGCACCAGGCTGGAGTGCAGTGGCGCGATCTCAGCTCACTGCAACCTCCGCCTCCCAGGTTCAAGCAATTCTCCTGCCTCAGCCTCCCGAGTAGCTGGGACCACAGGTGCGCGCCACCATGCCCAGCTAATATTTGTTTTTTTTAGTAGCGAAGGGGTTTCACCATGGTCTCAATCTCTTGCCCTTGTGATCCGCCCATCTCGGCCTCCCAGAGTGCTGGGATTACAGACGTGAGCCACTGTGCTCAGCCCAGAATAGTTTTGATCAGTTCCTTTGTCAAGTGTCCCTCATTTGAGTTTGTCTGAGGATATCTAGTATTTTCTCATGACTGGTCATGATTACACACGTTTTGGGTAAAAATACCACAAATGCGATGTTCCCTCAGTGCATAAGGTTCATAATGTGAATACATGTTATTTCCTGGTGTTGTTGATCTTGATCTGTAGATAAAGATGACCCCTGCTGTGTTTCTCAATGTAAAGCTACCGTCTTTCCCTTTGAGGTTAATAATTACTTGAGGAGACATTTCATCACAAAGAATTGAATTTAAACTGTCTGTGGAAGAAATCTTTTTGAGTGGGCTGGCTTTATTGCTGAATCATTTCTTTCACTATATTTCATCTATATGATCAGCTTTGCTTATTAAACTTGGGTTCTCTGTAAATATTAAACAAGACCAGTTTCATGCCATTTTTATAACTCTAACAAATAAAAGGTAACAAAGATCTAATCAGTAAAGACATAAGGTGTTTGTGTATAGTCTATGTGTGCAGATCTCAAAGAAAGGATCTGTAGTAAACAAGTGGCTACTTGTGGGGAAGACAGTGGCACTGGAGGGATATATGAAAGAAGCTTTTACTGTTACTCTATGTAATCCTGGATTGTTTTAGTATTTTTGTAATAAGGATATATTGTGAATGATAAATGTTAAATAGAGAAATGATAATTTTAAAAGCTCTTAGCCTACATGGCACTGTTTGTATGATGTCTTAGATGTGCAAAGTGCCTTCAAGGAGATCATATTCCCTTGGAAATTCCCAAGAAATGTAGAGAATAAAAATTTACTTTAATACTTTTTGAATTATGTTTTCTGTTGTTGTTTTTGAAAATCTTACCAGAGTAAGAAAATAAATATATCTGACCAAGAGTAAAAATGTATTTGGAAGGCAAATAATAAAGAAAAAAAGAGAAAGCATGAAAAAAGTAGAACTTGTGTAAATTTTTAATAATTTACATTTCTTTAATAGTTTTACATTTCTCATTTAAGAAATTTATGGCCTACAAAAATTAATTGATTCATGGGCATAAGAACTAAAAAAACATTGTAATGAAAATCAGCAAAGCTATTAGCATATTTAAATAATTAATTCTTTAAAGATCAAGTAAATGTTAGCCATTTTAAAAATTACAGAACATCTGGAAAGCAAAGAGATTGAACAATTGGAAATTAAAAAGCAAATGGTATGTTTTGTGCCACTGTGGGACTTCAGCAAATGGATACAAACCCATTTGAAAATAAATACAGAGTCTGTATGATTACAATGAGCCCAAAGATGGCTTTAGCATTTATATATCTCCTGGGAAGCATGGTGAGTCCGGAGTATAAAACCAAAGCAAAGGGAGGTTATTAAAAAATTATTTCCTGCTGTATTGTAGAACTTGAGAAGAGAATAAACATACCAATTACTTGCATGGCCGGTTCCACGTCTGTTGTGGCCTCTTCCAACAATGACAGCAGCTTGGCTGATATCTGATGCACGGACTCAATGTTGCTAAACAAGCCATCCACATCCAGCCTATCAATCTGAAGAAACAAAAAACATTGAGCTGATAGAGAAGCACTGTATTTAGGATGTTTCTCCTGATAAACAGTAAGCATTTTAAATGCCAGCCCATGCTACCTCCATCAACCGTTTCTGTAAACATTCTTGTTTGGGGATTCTAGAGTGCAGTTTTTTTTTTTTAATCCAGGAAATTGGGATGATACATCTGTTACTTCTTTTAAAAATTTTTTGAATATGTTTTGAGTTGATTGTACATCTGTATGAACCAGAATAGGAAGATTTAGGCCTAATTGGTATTTTTATTAACTGTCCTCTATGAGGGTATGTACTAGTGTGTAAGGTTTCAGAATATTTTACTGCCTATACAGCAGAAGTCAGACTTTACCTGAGGCAAGTAACTATTTTCAAAGCTGTTTTTAAACCACAGATGTATAAAGAATGAGGACAAATAATTGTGCTGGGCTTCTTCTTTTTTTTTTTTTTTTGCTTGATATACATATAAATGGAAATCTTCATTAAATATATACTACTAATCAAGGGTTCATCATATTTTGTTATTTCATGCACACCCTTAACAACCAGTGTACTTATTCTTAGATCTTATAGTGTTTATAATAATTTATTTATTCATTTAGCCACCCTTTCATCAAATATTTTCGGAGAAGCTTTTATGTACCAAGAATTACAACAGAAGCCAGACTGTGTCATAGTTCGTGGTTGATTAACAGAGAGATGGCCAAACCATTCTCAGCTATCTGAATACGGTGAGATATGTGCTCTGACTTTGATGAATCTTATTTGAATTCGTTCCCTTGAGTTTCAGTTGGATATCCTTCATAATCCAACAATGAATGGCCAGGCCACAGCCATATTGGTACAGGCTCTACTGGGCTACACTGGGGAACAGGAGTAGGTGCCTTTTATTCATGACTTATTGTGAATGTTGTCATAGGTGGATAATTAATTCATCAATAATTAATTCATTGAGGAGTAGCACAAGTGAAAAGCAGAGTTGCTGGTATAAAACCAGGTCAGTAAAATTAGGAACATGAAAGAGACAGAGAATCCAATTAAAGAAAATGTGCCAAGAAATTAGGGGAATTTAAAAAAAAAAGAAAGAAAGATATTAGAGGAATTAGGAACAAGGGATATAAGAAGCAAACCTAGAGAAATTCTGCAGATGAAGGCCAACAACCACAGCTTTTTTCCATGATTTCAGAATCAGTTCTTTAGGTGTGTGCAGGGTTTATTTAAGGGGAAGGAAGAAGGCAACCTGCTCATCTTTTTTTATCCCATTCCTTTTTGACATTGTCCTGTCTACTGTGCTCCATATTGGACACCAACATTATTTTGGTAAGGATATTCTGTCATTGAACTTGGAAGCATGACTTCACATTGCACCTTTTCAAAATGTGGCGACTACGTCAGTTAGTTCTTATGCAATATGATCTTGCTGTATTCAAGTCTTTGAACCATATTAGGAAATTTCTCACTTTCCAATCATTCATGCTGTCCTCAAGATAATCCACAGCCTCATTTGTAATCAGATTCATAAGATTATATGCAGTGGTTTATTTCAATATAGGATTAGACAACTTTTGAAAACTAGTTTTATGTATTCTGAAATTGTCTGTCATTAATTATTACATTGCAATCATTATTAGTTCTTATGGTCACAAAATGTTCCTTAATTGACCACTCACTTTAATGGGAGATGGCACATGTGGTTCTTCTGCTTGTAATCTAGAGAGGTTCAAGACTTTCAATTTCCATATTAGAAAATATATTTAATATTACAGAAAATATTTTAAAGACATGCAACAGTTTTATGGATTTTCTCTTAATTATTATTTAATAATAAATTATTATTAACTACTTAACATGAAATTACATTTACTAATGCTTTATTATTATCAATGGCTCAAATGTCATATATCTCTGAGTACCACTGATTTCACACACTACTTATCCTAAAGAATTGACCTTTGTGTTGAGTATTAATTAAATCCACAAAGGTATAACTTTGAATAATGCAAGATGTTTTCCAAAAGTTGTGTATGAATCAAATTTTTATAGATTGGTTCATTTCAAATTTGCTGACTGTATATTTCTTAAAATCATTTTTGAAATAAATCCTTCTAATATATAAAATTTTAGCCCCTAATTTACTTGCTTTATAAGATAAACTACCAGCAGTAAATCACACAGTGTATTCCTGTTATTATTTCATTTTGCTGTGGAAACTTTATTCTGAGAAATCTGAAGTATTTCATGTTTATGATTTCATACATGACTCCAACTTCTTTGTAATGAATGAACCATCTTGAAGATACAGAAAATAATGCAGAGCAAAGAGAAGAGCTATACTCAAACGTAAGCAAGAAGTTCAGGGTAGAACTGGATTCAAAAATTAACCTTTTCATTCTGCGCTTTCATCCATTACCAGCAAATATTAATAATAGAGTACTTTGCTATCTCTATTTAGATTTTTTGGTTTGTTCCTGAGTCTTTCACCACGTTGTCACTCCTACAATTTATTTCCCAAGGTCAGTATCCTGTATTTCTGTTTAATTTAGAGTACAAATCCACTTAGCAATGATCTAATTCTACATTTTATCTATAATCTTAGCTCAGTGCAACAAATACTAAATAACAAAAACATAGATTTTTAATTCCACTTCTTCCTGAAGGACAGAAAGGATTAAAACATCAATTAGCCTGATTTCAAATGCCCATATCACCATGAGCCCATGGGGATTCTATGAATCATAAAATGAATTCATATACAGTCACTGTTATGCCAGGGAACAAACAAATGCCTGGTACAAATGGGCTTTTAAAACTGACAGATGATTTTATGATTACTGATGTAAATTCAGGGAAGTGTGTTTTTACATTTATTAATCATTCACTAGAAACAGGCAATGCTCTAAAAGCTTAAGTTGAATTACATTTTAAATAGATTAAAATTCATTTAAAAAAATGGTCTAAGTGCACAGTATTTTAAGCCAAGTCAGTATGTAATAATTCAGACTTACAAAACAAAAAAATTAAAAGCCAATGTTTCTTTTTCTTTTTTAAAAATTTCTTCCGAAAAAAACAGTATACATGTGCAGAATGTGCAGGTTTGTTACATAGGTATACGTGTGCCATGGTGGTTTGCTGCACCTATTAACCCATCCTCTAAGTTCCTTCCCCTCCCCACCCACCCCTCAACAGGCCCTAGTGTGTGTTGTTCCCTTCTGTGTCCATGTGTTATCACTATTCAACTTTCACTTATGAGTGAGAACATACTGTATTCGGTTTTCTGTTTCTTTGTTAGTCTGTTGAGGATGATGGTTTCCAGCTTTATCTATGTGTCTGCAAATGACATGATGCCATTCCTTTTTATGGCTGAATAGTATTTCATGGTGTATATGTACCACAATTTCTTTATCCAGTCTGTCATTGATGGGCATTTGGGTTGGTTCCATGTCTTTGCTATTGTAAATAGTGCTGTAGTAAACATATGCACATGTGTATTTATAGTAGAATAATTAATATTCCTTTGGGTATATACCCAGTAACTGGATTGCTGGGTCAAATGGTATTTCTGGTTGTAGATTAAAGGCCAGTGTTTAAATTGGCAATTTAATTTGTTTCTTTGCTTCAAATAGCAAGTTCCCATCACATTTAAATAATTACTAGGTTTTAAAATCAGGTAATGTGATGCCTCCAGCTTTGTTCATTTTGTTCAAGATTGCTTTGGCTCTTCAGGGTCTTATGTGGTTGTATGTCAGTTTTAAAGATATTTTTCTATTTATATGAAACATGTCATTGGAATTTTGATAGGAATAGCATTTAGTCTATATATTGCTTTGGGTAGAATGGATATTTTAACAGTATTAATTCTTCCAATCCATTAACACCAGATATCTTTCTATTTATCTATGTCTTCTTCAAATTCTTTCATCAGTGTTATGTAGTTTTCAGTGACTTCAAATCTCCTGCAAAGCTATAGCAATCAAAACAGCATGGTACCAGCCTAATAACAGACATACACCAATGGAACAGAATAGGAAGCCCAGAAATAGATCCACACTTTTACAGTTGATTGATTTTCAACAAAGATGTCAAGAACACATAATGGGAACAGTCTTTTCAACACATGGTTCTAGAAAAACTGGCTATCCGCATGCAGAAGAATGAAATTAGACCTTTACCTCACACCAAATCAACTCCAAATGAGTTAAAGACTTAAATCTAAAACCTGAAATTGTAAAATAACTGGAAGAAAACACAGGCAAAAAACTCCCTAACATTGGTCTGGGAAATTATTTCTTGGATATAACCCCAAAGCACAGGAAACAAAAGCAGAAATAGACAAATGGGTTTACATCAATCTTAAAAGCTTCTGCACAGCTAAGAAAACAATAATCAGAGTTGAGAGACAACCTGTGGAATGACAGAATACATTTGCAAACTACACATCTGATAAGGGGTGTTAATATGCAAAATATAAGGAACTCAAACAACTCAAAAGTAATAAAACAGACAATCCCATTTAAAAATGAGCAAAACTAATGGATACTAGGCTTAATACCTGAGTGATGAAATAATGTGTACCACAACACCCCCGTGTGACACGTTTACCTGCACATTTTGCACATGTACCTGTGAACTTAAAAGTTAAAAAAAATTAAAAAGTAAAATGAAAGTTAAAAAAAGAAGAAGATATAGGGTGACTATAGTTAATAATAATTTATTGTTATGTTTCAAAGTAGCTAGAAGATTTAGAATGTCCCAACTCAAACAAAATTATAAATGTTCTGAAACCCATACTTGAAAATATTTTAAAAAGGAATGAAAGATGTTTGAGGTGATGAATATCCCAATAAGATTTGATCATTACACACTGTATGCTTGTATCAAAATATTACATGTGCCCTTCATATATGTACAAGTATTATGGATTCATAAAAATTAAAAATAAGTAAATTAAAATAAATTAAATTACAAAAAATGGGCAAAGGATCTACAT